TAATAATGATTTATCAATCCTATGTTATCAGTCTGCTGCAAACAGACAAACAAAAACACTGCAGCGATGGTCTTCAGTCTTTAGTATGCCTAGAAAGCTAGTTAATTGAGGATTTCTCCCAAGTCTGACATCTGATACAGAGATAAGAAGTTTGCTTTGTATGTACTCCCCAAATATATTTTAATGAGTGTGATCCTTAGGCCACACTCCTTTTTTAGAAATATGGTAGGCAATTTAAATGATTTCTAAGTACAAGATGATTTACGTTACTTATTCCAACCACCAAGTGTGGTATCTTAAGAGTTGTTGACCTTTGCCGGCCAATATAATAGTTTGTTTAATAAACATAGGCATCAATTTCTAGTAGTCCTCATAGAGTTAATTATTATATTTTGAATGCATATTCAAGTATGTATAGTAATGATTTCTACTATTTTCGTAGTGCTTTAAATTTTAAAAAAAGTTAATATGTGTATGTATTTATTTATTTTTAATTTATTTATTGTCTAAAGTTTTACATATGTCTCCCTTTTCTTCAATTTGACCCCTCCCCCAAGCCATTCCCACCATGCCAAGCCCCCACTGCTCCAGTGTCTTTGTCCATTGGTTCCGCTAATATGCATGCATACAAGTCCTTTGGTTGCTCTCTAACCTCCCCCCCCTGCCATTTTTCTCTGGATCTATTCTTGTTCATCAAATTATGTTAATCATTATATATCCCACATATGAGTGAGATCATATGATATTTATCTTTCTCTGACTGGCTTATTTTGCATAGCATAATGCTCTCCAGTTCCATCCATGCTATTGCAAATGGTAAAAGTTCCTTCTTTTTTTATGGTGGTGTAGTGTTCCATAGTGTGGTTGTACCACAGCTTTTAATCCACTTATCTGCTGACGGACAATTAGGTTGTTTCCAAATCTTAGCTATGGTGAATTGTGCTGCTATGAGCATAGGGGTGCATATATCCTTTCTGATTGGTATTTCTGTTTTTTTGGGATATAGTCCTAGAAATGGGATTACTGGGTCAAATGGGAGTTCCATTTTTTAACTTTTTGAGAAAACCCCATACTGTTCTCCACAGGGGCTGTACCAGTCTGCATTCCCACCAGCAGTGCATGAGGGTTTCTTTTTCTTCGCATCCTTGCCAGCACTAGTTGTTTGTTGATTTGTGGATGATAGCCATTATGACAGCGAGACGGTACCTCATTGTTACTTTGATTTGCATCTTTCCTATGATTAGTGACTTTGAGCATGTTTTCATATGTCTCTGGGCCTTCTGTATGTCCTCTTTCAAAAAGTGTCTATTTAGGTCCTTTGCCCATTTTTTTGATTGGATTATTTATCTTCCTTTTAAGTTGTATGCATAATATATATCTTTTATTTTCACTTCATCCTAAACAATGGGGCTGGCAACAATAATTTAAGACAAGTGAATTCTGTAAGTTTCCCAATAGGTCAACAAGTTGAATGGAACTACCTGCAGTCAGACTATTCTAAAGGCATCTTACAGCCTCATTTTAAAACCAGAATAATAGTTTTGGTTGTCTTGAAACTCTTCAGAAAAAGAAGTTACTCTTAAAAAAGTCAGGGTTTCTGTGCTAGGTTGGGACTTATTCATCATGATTTGTGCAAGAGGCAGATTTGGAGAACTTGCTATTCCTGTGATGTTATAAAGTATCACTTGAGAAAGTGAAATGGGAAAAGTCCAGACTTTTTTTGTTGTTAAAATTTCCTACTGTGTGATATATGTCTCCCGTTCCATCATGTTAACCTCCATTCAGTTGTCAAATTTCAAACTATTGATATTTTCTTGGAGGTTTCTATAATCTCTCATTCTAAATAATGTTCTATTTGGTCCTTATTTGTGTTTATTGCGTTTATTACAATTGCAATTTTATAATTTTTGTGTGTTTTCTGTATCCCTACTAGATTGTGATTTACTTAATGACAGGGATTAACCTTTTCTAACTACAGTTAAATTAAGAACCTAGCTCAGTGGTTGGCAAACTCATTAGTCAACAGAGCCAAATATCAACATTACAACACTTGAAATTTTTTTTGAGAGCCAAATTTTTTAAACTTAAACTTCTTCTAACACCACTTCTTCAAAATAGACTCGCCCAGGCCGTGGTATTTTGTGGAAGAGCCACACTCAAGGGGCCAAAGAGCCTCATGTGGCTCGTGAGCCACAGTTTGCTGACCATGGCCCTAGCCCTATAGCCTGAGGCACCTAATACAAACTTGTTGCATGAATGAATGAAATATAGAAAATATTTGATTGGAAAAGCCCCTGTGTTTTATATTGACAAACATCAAAGCAGACTACTAAACTGTCTTTGTTGTATGGAAGGTGAGTTGGTAAGCTTGGACTGATTGTGAAAGAACAATGCTGGGAAGTCCCACTACATTCAATAATGAATATAGGTGCAGAGTGTTTTAGATTACAAAGTTAGCTGGAAAAATGCTAATTGAGGATCACTAAAAGCATAAAATAGAATTGCAGTCTACTCTAACTGCCTTATATTCTCTAACTGCCTCATAGACAGAATTAGTGCACTAAAACTTTTAACACAGCCTGAAAAGCTTGAGACTAGGTGGGAATGGTGGAAAACATGGGGGAGTAACTGAAGGGGAATCAATATGTAAACACCTTAGTATAGTTCTGATACCAACAGATTTTATGGGGCATCAGAAAAAAATGTGACTATCAAATGTGTAGATGATATTTTAATTTAAAAAATAATGTATGAACCACAAGTAATTGATTCTTCCCCACAAGAATCTAAAGGGTCTAGTGATACTGTTTTAAGAAGTATTTGAAAAACAAAAGAACTGTATTTATGTGTACAAAGGGAAATAGGAGGGGGAAAAATGAGCTGATATCTCACAATATGTCTGGGAAAAACAAGTCAAATCATAATGTTAAAACCAAAGGGAACCCTTACAGGTGTTCCCGTATACCCAAAGGTTGCAGGTTTGATTCCTGGTCAGGCCAGATACCTAGGTTGCTTTGGATGATCCCCAGTCTGGTCACCTATAGGAGGCAACTAATCAATGCTTCTCTCTTACAGTGATGTTTCTCACTCTTTCTCTTTCTCCTTTATTCTCTCTCTCAAATTAATAAACATATCCTCCAGTATGGAAACAAACAAACAAACAAACAAACAAAAACAAAGTTGGAAGATATACATGGAAAAATAAGGCAAAGACATGAAAAGGACATGCCTTATAATACTGTATGATGCTGTACTAGCTGGCACACTGCAAAGAGACAGTTCCATAATCTGGGTGTTTCTTTAGGGTAAATAGTAAAAGTCCTAAGATTTTTTTTTAATTCTTTTGTATATCTCTTACATATTTGATGAGATTTGTATCTCTCACATTGAGCCTGAAGAGGTTGGTTTTTTTTTTTTTTTTTTTTTTTTTTTTTAGGAATTGGTTTCAATCTCTTCTGGAAACTTAGATCTCAATGGCATAATTGAGGAATAAGTAGTAGGGAGCAATGTTGGGTTTTGGAATAGACTTGTATTTACAAACTAGAGGCCCAGTGAATGAAATTTGTGCACAGGTAGGGTCCCCAGGCCATGTCAGTGATCAGGGTCGATTAGGGCCTTTCTGCTGCTGGCCAAGTCTTTCTTTTCCCAACTGCCAGCTGCTGGCCAGAACCTACCTTTGTTCCACACCACCCCCTGGTGGTCAGTGCATGTCACAGTGAGCGATTGAACTCCTGGTCTCCCGGTCAAACTCCCAAGGGGACACTTTGCATATTAGCCTTTTATATATATAGATAAGGACCTCTCTCCACTTGACTGATGACCACCTGCTCCTGAATAATTTATTGGTTTAGACAATCAAGGAACAGCCTCTTTGTGCTCATTAGGTATGCTAAATCAGAGAGCACTAGGAATCTGCCAGCTACTTTGAAAGCCTCTGGTACTGACTGCAATAATGCCATTTACCCAAATAACTACATTTCACTTTCTTAGAACGTTCACAATAAGAAGTATGTGATCCCATGATAAGTATTTCAACATATTTGTATTCTAATTTTGAGGGTTTAGGTAGTTAATGGAACAGAATCTTGAGTAAAACATGCCAGGATAGTGTCTCAAGTCTATCACTTTGTATCTTACGACTTTGGAAATTACCTTAAACTCTGTGGCTAATATTCCAGAACTGTAAAATGCAGTAGGAATAGTGTTGTTATAAGTATTGATATGAGTTAATTAAGTAAATTGCTTTTAACAGTGTTTGGTACTAGGAAGGACCATATAAATGAGAACTTTTATGATTATTCTGTAATGATACTTAAGCATTTGGAGTTCTTTTTTTTAGGGGAAGAAGAAAATTGTCTTTTTAATATGTTTCTTAACTCTGTTTCTCTTTCTTTAGTCTTACTGTCTATCTTCTTCCACAGATTTGCTCTTTGGATAAGTCTCCACCTTAAATTAATATCATTTAAATAATAACAAAAAACGAATATTTTTTTCACATTCATATTTTCATGATAACAGGAATATTTTATGTACAGGTAGAAACCTGCAGGTAAATGTGAGTGGCTTCTAAGTTTCCATCAGTGAGGACTGCACCTTATAGTATAATGTAGAACTCGATCTAATACATGAAGATTACTAGGATCATAAACAATTATCTAGAGCCATTGTCTACTTTTATTATTATTTTTCAGTCTGTTGCCCTTCAACATTCTTTGGAAGTGATTTTTTTATGCTCTCTTCACAGGTATAAAAAAGTCAAGAATTTTTTTTTCCAACTTAAATCAAAAGTTTTTACCTATATAAGCTGATTAACAGAACTAGAAACCCAATCCAGGTACAGCTCTAATTAATGTTACCAATCTTTTTTTTGGAGCAACATCCCAAGTGAAATCTTCAAAAAACGCTTTCACTGTTTTTCCTCTAGATGGATCGATGATCTTAGATCTGGGTCAAAGTATATTATGGTTTCGATCACTCTCTCCTTTTCTCCCCCCCTACAGTTTATTGCTTTTGCTTCTTTATTCTTCATCCTGGTTTCAATCACTACCTTTTGCCTGGAGACCCATGAAGCTTTCAATATTGTCAAAAACAAGACGGAACCAGTCATCAACGGCACAAGTGTTGTTCTACAGTATGAAATCGAAACGGATCCTGCCTTGACCTACGTAGAAGGGGTGTGTGTGGTGTGGTTTACTTTTGAGTTTTTAGTCCGTATTGTCTTTTCCCCCAATAAACTTGAATTCATCAAAAACCTCTTGAATATCATTGACTTTGTGGCCATTCTGCCCTTCTACTTGGAGGTGGGACTCAGTGGACTCTCATCCAAAGCTGCTAAGGATGTACTTGGCTTCCTCAGGGTGGTAAGATTCGTGAGGATCCTGAGAATCTTCAAGCTCACCCGCCATTTTGTAGGTCTGAGGGTGCTTGGACATACTCTTCGAGCTAGTACGAATGAATTTTTGCTGCTGATAATCTTCTTGGCTCTGGGAGTTTTGATATTTGCTACTATGATCTACTATGCCGAAAGAGTGGGAGCTCAACCTAATGACCCTTCCGCTAGTGAGCACACGCAGTTCAAAAACATCCCTATTGGGTTCTGGTGGGCTGTGGTGACCATGACTACATTGGGCTATGGGGATATGTACCCCCAAACTTGGTCAGGGATGCTGGTAGGAGCCCTGTGTGCTCTGGCTGGAGTGCTGACAATAGCCATGCCTGTACCTGTCATTGTCAACAACTTTGGGATGTACTACTCCTTGGCAATGGCGAAGCAGAAACTTCCACGGAAAAGAAAGAAGCACATCCCTCCTGCCCCGCAGGCAAGCTCACCTACTTTTTGCAAGACCGAATTAAATACGGCCTGCAACAGCACACAGGGTGACACCTGTCTGGGCAAAGACAATCGACTTCTGGAACATAATAGATCAGGTAAGCCACAATTTTAAATGCATGCCATTATGTACTTTATAGACCAGTATTGTCCAATAGGTAGAAGGCACTCATTCTCATTTTCTGCAAATGTTCATGAGTTTTCAGTTCTCCCCTTCACAAGACATGTGTTTGTGTCAGGCTTATAGATAGCTAGATTGTACCTTTCTAAATAAATTCCAAGTAGAAGTCTACATAGCTGGTCTATAGAGTTTTCCTGCCCTTTGCTGATGGTGCCAATATTTTCTTTTGCCTGTGTGTTGCTTTTGTGCCAATGTTTTTGTTTCCCTGCACGATGTGATGGTATGATATTGGCCATTTTCCATCCTTCATCCTCAAAATGTTGTTCTCCCTATCATTTGGCTTGGTGTGTTTGTCTCAGCTTTATCTCTGCCACGTGGGGCCATGCATCTCACCCTAATTCACAAGAAGCAGTTCCCTAAGAGGAATGGATGTTTATATTTCAAAGGCCTAAACATCAAAGAGGTGATATGGAAGGTAGCCCTTTGGATAACGAAGGTCTTCCCTAATAATATTCTGGAGAATTGATTACATTTTTATTATTAGTAAATGAGGTAGAGTTGGATTGAGCAAGGTGTTATATAATCAATTTATCATTATTCTGGGAATAGATAATGTGCTTTGGCTCATCAATGGCAAACATTGAATTTCTCTGTGGATTTCCTTTTTTATCCACAGAGATCATCTTTGGCAAGCATATAGAAGTAAACAAAATTTTCAATGGCATTTAGAAACACTTATCTCATTCCACTATGTTCAAAACTATTTTGCTTCTTTAAATTAGAGAACCAGATCACAATGCAGTAGGTTCTCTCCCTTACCACAACTGAATATTGGATGACTTACTGCCTGACATTAGCTGAACCACTACTCATCTCCATTGCCAGAGATAATCCAGAGAAGACTGATAAGAATGACTGTCAGTTGATATTCAGTTTGCTAAAGTGATCATCAGTATTGTCATCTCTAGTCTATTGTCTGGTACAGATAAAATATTTTGTAGATTAAACAACTTAATTGCCTATGATGAAAATTAAAAAAAAATATATATATGCATTGACTATAAATTATGTATATGTAATTTTTTATTGCAAAAGATTTTTATGATATTCCCATGTGAGTAATACTGCATATTTAGAAATACCAGCAAATAAACAAAACAAGCAAGTAAATAAACAAAAAAGCCAGGTGACATTTTCATGTTTCCTTCTTAGCTTCTAGAAGTTTTTTATGGAGTAAATAGAGGAAAAATGTGGTTGGAGCTTAACTATCTTTTAAAGATTTTATTCACAGTCCTGTGTTTTTTTTTTAAGTAAATTATTCTGTAAATTCAGTCAATATACATACCTGAAAACTGCTAGGCCAAGTATGTCTTTATGAAAGGTGGAGTTTAGTTGGTGTTGCCAGTCTCACATTGTTCTCATAGTACCTGTGTCTTATGAAGAACATGGATAAAGAGGACACACTCTTAGCCTAGGATAAACATTGTTATAACAGGCTGGTATCCAGGCCGATAGATTGTGACCATCTTTAGCAAATATACAGAAGTAAGCAAAGTTTCTAAGGGCATTTGGAGAAGTTTATCTCATTCCATTATATTTAAAACTATTTTATCACTTCAAACTAGAGAACCTGGTTATAAGTTTGTTAGCTTTGGAATTATTTTTATTAAGATTTTGGGGGGGAAATTACACTCAGAAAACAATAAAAGTGTATGTCTTCAAGAGCTGCAAAGCCATATATTTTCTTAGTTTTTCCTTAATAGGCTCCACTTAAAAAAAAGATCCCTTTCACAGTAACTAGATAGCATCTCAAAAATTATAAGATATTAATATGTGTGCTACTTCACCATTACACTCATTTTTAATTCATCTGAGTTTTGTGAAAGTAAATTTCTTAATAGATAGAATCCAAAGTGGAATTAATACTTCCCTAAGAACATTTATTTTTCTTTCAACACATTTCCATTATGCTCCATGTAAATTTTTGTGGTGAGTGATGACAATCCTTTTCTTATCATGATGTGATTATTCTGTTTTGTATATCAAACGACTGTACTATGGACATCCAGTGTAAACTCTCTGTACTGTCTGTCTCATTCCCTCATCTATCACTGTCTGTCAATGGGCATGGTGCTGTAACCAGTGCTATCAGGTGATGACAGTTCGGGACGTGAGTCGCCATTATCACCCCCAGAAAGGCTCCCTATCAGACGCTCTAGTACCAGAGACAAAAACAGAAGAGGGGAAACGTGTTTCCTACTGACGACAGGGGATTACACGTGCACTTCTGATGGAGGGATCAGGAAAGGTAGGCGTGCATTTCGTCAGATCCTCACAGGTGACTTAGAAATTAAGCGCTGCAAAATACCACGAGTGTTGCCAAATTCCCTTCCATCATTTTCTAAGAAAATTACACATAGTACTTTTTTATCATTCCTCATCACACCTTTCCTCATTACAAACATTTAAAAATATTTATCATAGCAGTCTACTTGGCTGTCATATCTGAAAGGAATGTCTTCTTTCTTTTCTTCACTTCTTTTTCCTTTTTTTGGTTTTCCATGTGTCTATGGGAAGAAAATTGTAATGAAATATTTAAAAACTATATGAAATTATATGAATAGGACATGCATTTTATTATTTTGATATAAGTCACTCATTAGTCTTTTTAAAAGTTCTTTTCTCTTACAATAATAATACTAATTGGCAATATGCATATATTTGATTAGTAATTTATAAATATAACACAATAATAAGCCTTTTTTTCTCAAGGAAAAGCATTAACATACTATAGTTAAGTCTTTTATTCAACATTTGGACTTCTTTTGCTCTGATTTAGCTGAGTAAAAGAAGATTGAAAAGGGACAAGATCGTTGGCCCTTCCAAACGGTATACCCAATCACTTGAAAGGCTACTTATGCACTTATAAAACATGGTTACATAATTTTTTTTTAGGGCAATAGTTATAATTTTAAGTTTATTACTAATTTTCAACCCACACTGAAAGTGCCTGGCACATAGAAGATATGTGGAATGGATAAATTTTGTTGGGAAGGCATCTTGACTAAGGAATATAACAGAATTCTGAGACTTCACTCCATCACGTGGTTCTGTTTTCCTAGATAGGACTACTTTGACCATCTCCTAGGTGCTGGTTTTTTATTTTGTTTTGAGCAAACTTGACAGAAAAAAGGACAACTGAGCCCTATCTGGTTTGGCTCAGTGGATAGAGTGTCAGCCTGCGGACTAAAAGTTCCCGGGTTCGATTTCAAGGGCACTTGAATAGTTGCAGGCTCCTCCCTTGCCATGCAAGAGGCAAACCATGGATGTATTTCTCTCACATCAATGATTTTTTCTGTCTTTCTTTCTCTCTTCCATTCTCTCTAAAAGATCAATGGAAAAATATCCTTGGGTGAGGATTAACAACAACAACAACAAAAAAATGACAGCTGAGCCTTTTTTCTCCTCCTTAAGAAATAGTTTTGTGACATTATAAAGTGATGGTATGCTCTTTATTGCCTCCTCCTTTGGTGGTCCAAGATACCTAATTGCCATGGTTATTTTCTGTTTATTGACAGAATGGAGAAAGAATTATAATAATTTCTTATGCAGTGGACTTAATTTAAATAAAAGCCATTCCAAAACTTTCATATTCATGCAAATGAATTTTAAAAAATATTGTGCTCTTTGCTATTCATTACAGTTTCTCCCTATTGAATATGTTACCATGTTAGGCCTCATATTTTTTTTGTGGTGCCCTGTGTCTTTGAAATACCTCATTACCCATGTTGTACTTCTGTTTCGTTTCTTCTGAACACTTTACATCTTCCTGTCTCCATGCCTTTGAGTTTCAGAAGACCAAGCATTATTCTTTTGTCTCTTCAGTAAGCAATATTTTAAATCTTTGTTCATTTCAATTATTTCCATTCTCTGCTTCTATTCCTTTCACCAAAATGTATTTCAAGTAACTGAATATGTTCGATCATTTGTTACTTCACCTGTAAATATTATGTTAGAACAATTTTTAAGTATTTTATAAAGATAGTTAATACTTGAGCAAAATATGTACATACATTAAATAACCATTATAATAATATTTAACTAATAATAACTTACGTAGTACATAATATTTTAAGTACATTACATATTTTAATTCACTACATATGTATATATTTGTATATATTTATATGTAAGTATTTATATGTAATATATGGTTAAATTTACATACATGTTTTAGCATATTCTATAATGTATCAATGATTTGTTTAGACTAAGGTAACATGTTTAAGAACTTACAAGTTTTTTCTTCATGTTAGACAATATTTTTAATTTTAAACTATCAAAGATCACATATAAAAAACTTTGTAAATTATAAAGCACTGTGTAAAAGATTTTTCTTTTAAAATGATAAGTTTCATGAGCAAAACAATAAGATATTTCGTTTGTATGGAAAAGTTATACATACAATCTTATTTCACAAAATAGAAATTTTCTATCAGTGAAAACAGTTTTGTAAATTCATCTATGAGCTTTTTATTTTCTGTCATTTCTTACCATAGTCACCTTTCTTTTTCATTCTTGGTTAATTCTTTTGCAGCTTTGTGTTTTTCATCTAGGTCTTGTAGCATTTCTGGCTAACTTCATTTAATATTCTCTTGGTGTGTTGTCATGTCTATCAGGAATTCATTTTTTTCTTCTATTTCCTTTTATGTAGATTATAGATTAATCCTCTTAATCACACTCAGACATTTATTTCCTATATTATACCATTGTTTAAACCTTTTAAATTGGTCTCTCTACTGTGATGATTTTAGAGTTCTGAAAATTCTCTCCCATATAGATAAAAAAATTTGGATTCCCATTGAACTTTTTCTGTGGACAAATATAAATATAGATGGGCACACATGAAGAAAACTTATAGATTCCCTAAAAAAGTAAACTCCCAGTACTTAGAAACTATGATATTTTTATGCAGTAATTTTTAGAAAATCACATTATAAAAACAAAGACATACCCATTGATAGAAAATGTATTGATAGAAAATATATAGAAAATGTATAGGGAGATTCAATATTGCCTCTAATATATGCCTGATCTTTAGAACTATATAAAATGAACATAATGCATTTAGATGTTAGTTCAAATTAACATCCCATTCAATAAAAGTTTGAGTGAGAAAATTTTTATGTCAAATTTTCTAATAAAAAATAAATCTGCTTAATAAAGACAGCAAATTTATATGGATAACTTATAATTTTACTAATGAAATACTTGTTACTAAATTAGAATGGAAGCCTTTTAAAATGAACTTGAAATTATAGTTATTAAAAATAAAAGAATTTATAAGCAAAATAGGTAATATTTATGTTAAAACTATAATTCATAAAAATAACTAAACATTTAGAATGACAGCCAAGATTTATGTATAACTATCGTGATTAATATAAAAGTTTCAAACAGATTTTTACATTTTTTGGAGGTCCTGTAGGGAGTCTAGAGATTTGGGGGATAAGATATAAATTTTTATATGGATGATTTATAAGTATTAGCAACCCCTTTAATTCATGCATATTTGCAAGTTTGCTTTTAATCAAACCCAGTCAATGTTTATGGTGAAGTTTATATTTTCAGGTGACACAGTCAATTAGGAAAAATTATTCTTTCTGAGATTTCCAAAGTTATATATTCATTTTACCAAGAGCAAAAATTAATAGCCCTATAGGCACATGAGGGTCCCGATGGAAGGCTAAATGACCTAGAATTCTTTTTTAATTATTTAAGACACCTTCCCATTAACTCTTCCATCACTCACCAGAGTTTTATAGCTCCCATGTTTTATAGCCCAGAATACTAACAAAATATATTGACACATAACTCTCTCATTAGCAGAAATTATTTCCTGGAGAACTTTACTATAGTTAATAGATGGCATACATTTCCATCTACAACATATCAAAGAAGATACCTAGTCTGCTGAAAATGTATATGTGTATGTGAGGAAGGGATTCCTCTCCCGTCCAGTTAGCTGTTGCCCTGCAGTGGAGCTGATATTGCACTCCCTATCCACATCTGTCTTGGACATTTGCAAATCAAATCATCACTAAATCAGTCCCCTCTCTTCCAGTGAAAAACAGAGAGAGCAGTACTTTCCTTCCCATTAGTTCTATGAAAATATACAATTAAGGAAAGAAGTAGCTGAAAGGAACACAACAGATCCACTTTCTATAGAGTCATTATGTACACCCAAGCTAATCAGGAGTGAACCCTAAGTCCAAGAGGCAAATAAGCTCACTGGAATTGTATCTATACGCTCAGCTTTGGAAATTTTATTTTCCTGTTATGCAACACTTCTTCAATGGAGCTGTCAGAATATATCTTTTCTAAGATGTGGATGTAATATGACTACTTTTTCAGTCAACAGTTGCCCTGCTTTTAATATAATTCAGTTCTAACTTTACACTAGGCATGCCTTACCTCATTTAACTACCTTTAATCTTTTCTAATAAACAGTACTATGATATTGAAATTCTTCCACCTCAATGGGTGTTTTTTTTTCTAAATTATATTTTATTTATTTATTTATTTATTTATTTATTTATTTATGTTGATGGGGTGCTTCTTAAGTAGCATAGGTGAAATACTGTGTTGAAGCTTGTGACAACATTTTATTCTATAACTCCATGACTATCATGAACAAAAGGTCAACTTACAAAATAATATAAAGAAAAGGTGAATTGAATTCAAATTATTCTCAAGTCCTAGTGGGGGAGTCAGATGAAAACAGCATAACTTTAACTCACTGAAATTATGACTCAACTTCTATTTCATCCATTTTATTTTTTCTTGAAAAGATTAGATATTGGCATTCATTCTACACCATGTAGATAATGGCATCAAATGTCATTATTTGAGAATCATTTATTATTATTATTATTATTATTATTTAACTCCATAAAACTGGAAGATTTAATATGCTATAAAAAAAGACTTGTCCGTTTAAAGTTAAGCATTCTTCAGTAGCTTAGTAAAAACTAAAAAATGAAGAGAAAACATAGCCCATTTTCCCCCAGAAACATATTCTGATAATAATAGTCAAATGTATATTTTACTTAAGTTGCTTTGCCTAATTCTGAAAGAGTTCTGGATATGCCAAAATTACATCAATACAAAGTATAATTTGGGAAAGAATAATTTTTGAAATATTGTAACTGTAATTTGTGATAGCTGGCTTACTCTTTTGGGAATGACAGCTACCGTGAACTTCAGGGTTTTTTTTTTTTTTTTACAGTTAAAAACTGCCTCAATATTGAATTCTTTGTAAGCAAATTCTTTTTTTAGTTCAAAAGTAGCACATTTGATTATTCTGTGTGGTATTGTTTGTCTGTGTCTATTTTCTGTTTGAATTCAACTGATGTCTGTGCCTTTTTTCATAAAAGGATATGAAAAATCTCGAAGCTTAAACAACATAGCGGGCTTGGCAGGCAATGCTCTGAGGCTTTCTCCAGTAACATCACCCTACAACTCTCCTTGTCCTCTGAGGCGTTCTCGATCTCCCATCCCATCTATCTTGTAAACCAAACTGCACCAGCCGGCTAAATTGTATTACTTCAAGTACTGTCTACTCTATAATGGAAATAATTAAACATAGGATTACTCCAGCCTCCATTAATACAGTGCAAATCTGCATGATGTTATTTGAAGTCAGAAAATGCCGTGTGGGTAGCTAACAAATCTTATCCTGGTTTTAAAGAGCATCTAAAGTAGTGGTACTATGTCTCCATGTTAATTGCCCTGATCTCCTTTCACAATCAAAGAACAGGTAGTATCACATACTGGCCAGTACACTAATACACAAACATATTTTCAGGGAGATATATTTAAAACAGTGTGCTTCCATATGCCAACCACTTCACTGGACCTTCATTTCCTTGACTCTCTCAACCATTCTGAAGATGTCTGGGATCCTGTCTTGCTTGCATACAACATGACTTTGGTCAGCTCATTTGCATGGACCATCTTGTCTCTATCACCTGAAAGCAATATCACAGAGTTCAGAGATCATGGATGGCTTGGGATATGTGTACTTGCATCACACCATCCCGCTGATATGGAACTGGTTGACTGTTCTGCATGTTGAATGGTGGGGCAGGGAGGGCAAGTTTCTCTCTGACATTTTTTATTCTGTGAAAGAAATATGTGTCTTAAGTAGCTTAATTTCTTGATTGATTTACCGTTCTTCAAAAATTATGTATTGGAGTTCTGAATGTCTCTGGTTGTTTGCACACAGATAACTACAAAGAGGTTGTCATTACTGGTTACACGCAAGCCGAGGCCAGATCCCTGACTTAATGGCTTGGGGAAGGCACAAAACAATGAGAGACAGGTAACTGCCAGCCAGGCTTGCATTGTTTAAATAGGAACCGCTGCTTGATACAAGAGTCATTTTTATTTAAAAACCTCACAATTTGTCATCATTTTCAGAGGCAGAGTGCCAAATATTTCCCAAAGCTCTCATGTCCTTTTTTTTTTTTTACCTCCTTCCTTTATTTTTATTTATTAATTTATGTGCAAACATCAAAGAGCATTGTTGTTCACAGATGGCTTTCCTGACTAGCCTTAGGTTTCTGACTTGCAAGAATAATCAGACTTCAGTCAATGCTTAATCAGGTGCTTTGTCCTGAATGTTGTTCTGTCTGTCTGTCTTAGCTCCCTGTCTTAACCGTATATGTCATCTGTCTCCATAAAGCACAGAAATGCCTGATAAGGTGTTCATGATCTTAGTCCTGGGTCTCCTCTCCTGCCCCTTGCCTTTTTGTTACTTGAAACAGCTTCTCTGCTTCATGTGTAAATTAAGGATGCCCTGTAGACTAAGTTAATCAGTACTGTGAATCTTCCTGAAAAGCAGGAATTAGGCAGCAGCAGTGTCACCGTTGTGTTTGGTTGCCTGCTGCAGTGTCCATTCCTGCTACCAGCATTCATCTCTACATTTCAGTGAAACCCTAGGGAGTCTTAATTCAGTCCAAATGGAAGAACTTCTGTCTCCACATCCCCATGAATGCAGAAGTAATAGAGTGCCTGGCGAATTGGGTGTGTGAGGGAAGAAGAAATGCCATAATATATATTTAGGGATAAACAGTATTTTTAAGGCATTCAAGATCATTGAGATGATTGTTGATTAATTTCTAATTCTTATGTTTATTTTTTGTTAGGAGGACAATTATCACTTTTATTCTTGGCCACGTAACTTGTATTACTCTATATCCCCAAGTCCTAGAGCATGACCTGCATGTCAGAGATCTTGTACAGCAATGTATTTACCCAGACATACACATCTGATATTTAGAGATTCAGTGATCCTCTTGATAACACCACACATAGAAAGCTATGATTGCACACAGCTTTATGGTAAAGGAATTCATATGCTGTCTGGTGCTGCTGTTATTGACTGCAGTGTTGCACAGAATTTATCATGGATTTTTGACTGATGAAAAAGGGACAGTGGAATTTAGCCATAGCAAGGACTGTGTTGGAAACAGACTTCTGCTGTTGAATGTGCCCTGAGGTAACCTGATTGCACTTGGAAGATGTCCCGGCGTCTTCATGAAGCATTTAAAGCTCATAAGAGAACTGTGGCTGGAACTCATCTGGTGCTCCCCATAGGAGTGGTCTGCTGTGGACTGGCCTGTGTCAGTGAAACAACTGTAAATACCAACATGTGCGCATGGGTCAATCGTGCTTGGCCATCTCACATCAAAGGAAGCCAAATTCATCCTCCACATCTCTGAAGCTTCCAGTAAGGCCCAGACCTCTGTGTATGACCCTTCATGGGCTTGCAGTAGATTGTGCTGTGAATCATTCAAGGCAGTGATTTTGGTGTAGTATCCGTCTGTCTTAATTTCCCTTATTTCTCCTTTTCGGTTGGATCCATGAACATGGACTGTATCATTTTCTTATAAACAACTTGTTTTATCAGCTTGTTATATTACGTTGTGAACTTTTCAGTGCCTATTTATCAAAACTGACCTGTTTTTAGTCATGTATTTGTTTAACTTTGGGAAATTGCTATGACAAAAACACACACACACAACAACAACATTATCCATAGTCTTTTGTCATTGTTACCTCAATTACAAAAACTATAGAAAAATTCTGGCAATGAGAGTATTTTTTTACTAAATGATCAAGGAGCAATGTTGGTATATAGTAGAATATTAATTAAATTATATCCTAAAATGTATATTTTGCATAAAAGAGATATTCTTCAATCAATTACTTTTTTGTGAGTTTTGTGACAAACAAAGCTTGTACTTGTCTTTAAAACTGTTGTTGCTGAAACTGTATAATTCTTCTTCTTCTTGCTTAATTGATATTTCTAGAATCTATTAGTTCCCCTGGGATTCTGAATATAATATATAACATAGTTATGAACTTCTGTATTGTGGACCTTTTGTGAGCATTTCGAGGTGCATGTATAACCTTGGTGATAACCACAAAAATGTAACTAACTGAAATGCACAATAAAAGGCAAATAAGTTGGGGAAAAGCTTGCATCTCATCTGATTTAATTATTCATATTCTTCTCTTTGTTTTGGAGTTTTCAACAGGCTTTATTATTTTTATGCTTCATGGTATCAAACAAGACTCTCACACATAAGAAAGAAATTGGGGTGAAAGGATTTATAAATATACATAACTCGCTTTCATTCAACTCTCAAGCACATAAGCCAGTGTTTTTCTCTTCGAAGTGCTTTATCTATCTAAATTTTCTTATAACTTGAGATAGCCAAATTATGAATTACTATGGTGTTTGATATGAATATGGCATTTTATGATTAATACTGTATTTTCACTTACACTTTCCAACTTAATCATCACAGTTCTGAAATGAGAAACCGTTTGCTTTTATTAATGATTAAATGGAAGATCAGGGAGACAGAACTGTTCAGTAATATTTTTCTCACAAATCATCTTCCCTGGTACAACTTCTCATAGTTGAAGTATTTATTGAGCCTCTGGTTGTAAACACCTAACATCACAAGATAACTGCTGCCTCACATTGGGTGTGGACCTCAGTTTCTGCAGCACACCACATGTATCTGGCATTTTGCTTACATGTGGGGTTACATGCCAATTTACTCTGTAACATTCTATGAAAGCATAGGATTAGGGAAGGTAAATGAAAAAGAGAAACCAGGTTGGAGAATTTAACATTTCCTCATTATGCATCAACAGAATCTTTTCTGTATCTAAAAATGCTGTGTTTATTTAAAAAAAAATATTAAAAAACTGAGCTCAGAAAAAGGGTATATGTCTAAATATAATTACCAGTAATATGTTTTTATTGATGGTGTCAGAATGTAGGATTTACTGTAAAAAGAAAAAAATTATGTATGAGGGGGACATAATACATTTTAATAGATGATAATTGCCATCAGATTTTTATTTAAAAATAAATTCAATCATTATAAATGAAAAGTGAAGACATTCACTTTATTTTTGAAATAAATCATAAGACCGACTAATGAAATAGCAATAGAGAACTTCTTCTTGGAAAGAGACAATGAATATGTTAAAGTGCAATGTTACTAAGCAGGAACTCTAAAGAATTTATAACGTGCTTAAAGACATTTAGAGCTAAGTGAATCTATTAAAATCCCTAGTAGTTTATAATGATTAAAATAGGTGGTTTAAAATGTTTTTTCTTATTGAAAAAGAATTAAATCCTTCCAATTTCCCCTGCCAAAATTTAATTAATGATTTAAATAATTGAACATTATTAAACAATAGATATATGTATACTAGTGGCCTAGTGCATGAAATTTGTGCACAAGAGGGGACATGTCCCTTAGCTAGGCCTGCACCCTCTCCAATCTGGGACCCCTCTGGGGATGTCTGACTGCCAGTATAGGCCTGTGGGATCAGGCCGAAGTCAGAAATTGGACATCCCTTTCACAATCTGGGACCTCTGGCTCCTACCCCTCACCTGCCTGCCTGCCTGATCACCCCTAATGACTCTGCCTGCTGTCCTGTTTACCACCTACTGCCCTCCCTACAGTTTTCTTTTCCCCAATACCCTCCCCTCCTGGCCTGATCACCCCTAACCGCCTCTGCCTTGACCCTGCTGCCATGGCTTTGTTTAGAAGGATGTCTGGAAAATTTTCTGGAAAGTCTCTCAGTATAATTACCATATTACCCTTTTATTAGTATAGACAGAGACCTGATCCATGGGCGGGGGCCACCTGCAGGGGGTTCTGGATCAGGGTGGGAGTCCCCTTACAGGGTGGGGCTGGCCTGTGTGAGGGGCTTGGAGCAGTTTGCAGACCGGCCACACCTCCATTGAGGTGGGGTTCCCCATTGGAGGGCATGGATAGCCTGGGCAAGGGGCTGATGACAGTTTTCAGGCTGGCCACACACCCTTTGGGTGGGGGTACCTGCTGGGGGTTGTGGCTGGCCTGGGTGAGGAGCTGAGAGCGATTTGGGGATGGTTTGCAGGTCTGCCAAGCCCCGCTTTGTCTGAAAGGATGTCTGGAAGGTCTCCAGGTCTAATTAGCATATTACTCTTTTATTAGTATAGATGTTAATTTTCTCTAAGAGGTGTTCAATATTATTAACACTGATCCTAAATTTTATAATTTCGTGTTCTCCCTTAAACTATTCTATTTTTTCTGCTTTGAGGCTATTCTATTTTTATTATTGTATGAAATTAAATAATTTAATTGAATTAATAATACATGATTTTGTTTTTATTTATCACACTGTCATGTCAAAGTGGTGGACCACTTACTATGCATTTTAAACATTAAGATCTTCAAAGACTATGGTAACTTCCATCTATAATCTCAGGCAACCTAATATTTTTTTCTTAAGTTAACTATACTTATTAGAGCAGTTTTGAGATCACAGCAAACTTGAGCAGAAAGTACAGAATTCCCATCTGCCCTTTTCCCCTCCCCACACAAACTTTCCCCACTATTAGCTTCCCAAACCATGGTGATATATCTGTTACACCCATGAAATTACAAAGAAACATCATTATCATCAAAAGTCTTTAGTTTACATTCAGAATTACTCTTAATGTCCTACATTCTAAGGATTTAGGTAAGTGTATAATGAAATGTATCCAACACTGTAATATCATACAGAATATCTGCACTGCCCTAAAAATTGTATTTCACTTATTCATCCTTCCCTTCCCTTTAATCCTTGGAGCCATTAATCTTTTTATTGTTTCCACGATTTTATCTTTTCCAGAATGTTATATACTTGGAATCATACGGTAGTTTTTTTCAAATTGGCTTATTTCATTTAGTAATGTACATTTAAGATTTGTATGTGACTTTCGTGGCCTCATTGCTCATTTCTTTTTAGTGCTGGATAATATTCCAGTTTATCCAGTCACCTACTGAAAAACAATTTTGTTGCTTCCAACTTTTGACAATCATGAATAAATTTGGTTAAACATTCATGTGATGACTTTATGCATGTTATTATCATATTAATATCATGTATCTTGGCAATGATTATTTATTAATGGTCTGTTTAAGTTCAAAATATAGAAATTGGCTTGAATTGAACCATTATAGATTTTATAAATACCATGACCTTATAGGTTAGTTACTCACTTACTAGTCAAGCATTTTTATTAGGAAAATCTTTTTATTTTATTTTATTTGGAAAACAAATTTGATGTACCATTGTTTGTAAAATAGTGTTAATGTATTGTCAAATGTAGAGCTTGTATCTTAATTTTTCAGTGTATTTTCATAATAAAAAAATAAGACAAGGATATTCCATGTAATTCAAAATCAAGTAATTTATTCAAGGAGGGGGGCATTTTTTGATCTTTGTTAAATTTAAGGTAACCATTAAGAAATTTCCCCTATAAGTCAGAAAGAGATATTATCACACCAAAATGATTAAAATATTTTGGCATTCGTGAAAATGTTACATTTCTCTTAGAAGCAGTGAAGTTACATAAAATAACTAGAAATAATACCAATACATAAAGGGTTCTTAATGTAATTTGAATATGGCAGTTCCTGAAGCCTTTCCTTAATTAGTGGCCTCTGGGATTTTATTTCCTTTTGAGATCCTTTAGCAAGTATCTAAAATGTTATGTAAATTCTGTACTTTCTTAAAAGTCAAGAGAAAGCTATATTATAGAGAAATTTAAACTGATGATCAAAAACAAAACTAAACAAGAGGACATAGAGGGGGAAATGGTAATGGAAAAAATAAAATAAAATAAAATAAAATAAAATGAAGATTTATAAAAGAAAAAAACAAAACAAGAGGAAAGCAAACCAAATTTGCAACTTTATTGCCTGGGATTAAGAACAGACCATATATATTTGTGTGTGTGTGTGTGTGTGTGTGTGTGTGTGTGTGTGTGTGTATTTTTTTTCTTTTTCTTTTTTTTTCTTGAGGGCTCCCATTTTATCAATAACTCCATCTCTCTGAAAACAAAAGCACTAGTTTAAATGCCCTATATGCTGTCTCTGATCCCACTGGATGCCGGCAGGAAGCCTAAAATCTGCAGGCATTCTGGCTGGCTGGTTGGC